TAACCCTAACCCTAACCCTAACCCTAACCCTAACCCTAACCCTAACCCTAACCCTAACCCTAACCCTAACCCTAACCCTAACCCTAACCCTAAGCTCAGGGAGACGAACAAGTGGATGGTGGTTGCGTCGCACGGCCATGTGCTTGGACCTCACCACGATGCAGACGATGCCCTCCGCAAGCACGGGCTGAAAAGCTTCATCGACGCTTTTGGCAGTCCGGATCCCGATGAGCTCGACTCGGATCTCAATAGCTAGCTTGTCTCACGTTTCTGTATCTAGATTTCACTGCAATGAAGCTTTGTCTCGTTTGCTCATTGATACCATTGCATGTGGAGCTGTGCCGATCACGGTGACACCGCCAAAACCTCACGGTAACATGATATCATACCTCACGGTCCATAAAATTGCAGTCCCGTACGTACCCAACTCTCACGGAGCATTTCACGCTAACACTTTGGCAGCAATCACGCTAACATTTCAGTGTGGTCCCGGTAACATCCGGCAAAAGGAATACTGATTTACGGTACAAATTCGAGCCTAATACATGGCGACTCGGCCCGTTCACATACTGTGAAGCTCGTTTTGTAGGTGCGCTCAGTCGCAAATGTGGCGTTCAAACGCTGAGTCGCCCGGTTCGCAGTTCGATTGGAGCAGCCAGCACGCCAACTTGTGCCACGCTTCACAGCGCCTTCGTCGCAAGGCCAAAGCGGTTGCGCAGCCACCTGTGCCCAAAGCACCAAGCGAGAAATGCTAGCAGCACAATGTTCGGCTTTTCCTGCACGGAATTACGCCGCCAAGCAGGTGCGTGCCTGTTCCTGGAGCAGGACTATCCGAGACGAAGCGTCGTAACGTAGCCGACGCAGAGCCAACACTACTCAGGAACTCGCTTGCGTGACCGTGCTGCTCTTTCCGCTGGAAAGGATGTGGCGTCGCGGCCAGGCTGTGACCAAGTCCGGTCAGCACGGTTTTGGTCGGCGTCAAACTCACATCGTTCTGTAAGCGAGCAACAGCTGGTGAAATCATGGATGGAGGAGCTTTCGGCGACTGACATTTCCGATGAACGTCAGCAAGGTGCGGACCAAGGAGCTGCGATGCGGGATTTGCAGTCTCCGCAGGAACGGCGCTGACGAGGAGAACGTGCGAAACGAGAGCGCGTGCAAGCCCACATCCAGGGCGGAGTCTCGGCAACCTCAATTGTGGGGCAGATACAAGGTGCGGTTGAGCGTGGGGCGTGGGGTGTGGGGTGTGGGGTGTGGGGCGTGGGGCGCAGGTCAGTCAGAGCGATGTGCATGAAAAGCGGTCATGAGGTCGACGAGTGGAGCGCGAGTAGAGAACAGCGCGACAACACGGCCGGAAGCAATGATCCGAAGGGACAGCATGGAATCGTTGATGCGGCGGCACACGTTTGCCTCCGTCGTGAAGGCTCTGGCGGAGTCAAAGGCCCCCATCGGAGAGAAAAAGAAGGCAGATGCTTTCGGCGTTTTCGCCATTTCGGTGCTGCCGCGCTCGCTTAGCAGGGTTGTGCGAAAAAAAGGGGTCCGACGCGAGGCGGCCTCGCGAAACGCACACGGCAGCATCGGCCAACCGGTTCATGCTAGACAGTGCGACCAAGTCCGAAGCAGCGGCCTTGTCTGGAGAGCACAGGTACCAACAGTAGCCGGTCGAGCCGGACGACCGATTGTGGCTGCCTCGCCTGCGAGCCATCTGCACCTTTTCTTGACCCGTCTCCGATGCCGAAATCGAGTCCATTTTTCTCAAAGTGTGTCGAGGGGGAGCTTCGACAAAACCATCCTGACTTCGGGACGAAAGCGTGCTCAGGGCGAAGAGGCGAGGCGACACAGGCAGAGGCAGACGAGGAGAAAAATGGAAATTCGGACTTGGCCGCACTTGGCCGTTGGCAAGGTCAGTGTGGCTTGCAGCGGCGCTCAGATAATTTTCTTTGGCTCACACACTTTTGTTGCCAGTCGAGGAGAGCGGGTGACTTCGCAGTTTGCTCTGCTTCGGCTCGTCCGGCGGCAATGATGGGCAAGGACAAAGAGGTGGCGGAAGGGTGAAATAAATGAAGGCGGACGACGACGACCGGCGATGCCGGCTGACAGACGTGACAGACGTGAGAGCAAGCGGGGAGCACCGACGCGATTGGATGAGCGGCGCATCCTGTCTCGCTCTTCGTCGGCCTCCGCCACGGAAAGCGGGCGTCCGCACGCGCACGTCCGCAGCGTCCGGCCCTCCGCTGGCCAGCCGCGTCAAACTTCGCTTCCAGCCTGCGGAAAGCGTGCGGAATTGGAAAAGAAAATGTGCGAGAATCGAAAAAAAAAA